ATTGCCCTTTCTGTCATGATGTTGACACGCGATCGTATGCTTTGGCGCAAACCAGTTACTTGGGGATTATAGCTGATTTCGGTGCTCTTACCAATAAGTCTCATTTTGAGCTCGGAATTAATCATAAGCGTCAAAGCATTACCACACAAGTCGTAAATTGTCATCTGAAACTGAAGTGTGTGAGTGCATGTGCACTATTAACCCTTAAATGGCATCGCCAGGGAATTCTAGGCTTCCAGCACAATCTGGGATTTGTCATTTCACATCAGTTGCAATGCTCAGAAATCCTAACATTTATGACTGCAATAATAATATCAAAGCGCAAAACACTTTGCATCTCTTCACCCCTATTTTCCATTTTATTCCTCCTATCCTCTCTTCTTCCTATTCTCTCTCTCTCTCTCTCTCTCTGTCTCTCACTCTTTAGTACGTTCGCTGTTTAACTTGATACAGAAAGGCTAATCTCCCGGCTACACACAGTTTCCATCTCCCTGGCCAGTGAAGTGGGTTACCGCTACCACAAACCTGAGGTCTCATTGCTCTTTGGAACAACCTCACACTGTACTGTCATGTTACCACCAGTGCTGTGGTGGAGAGTTGCCCACAGTGTCTAATGGCTGATTCCCCAGCACAGCACAGCACAGCAATGCACAGCACAGCACAGCCCTGTTTGACAGCGGTTTTCGCTGGCATCCCACTGTGCCACCCAGCTGTTAGCTGAAGGACGGCGGGTGATTCATTTTCAGTCGTGGAGCCGTTTAATTTGCGCAATGGCAATCTAACGACCCCATCGGATTGGCCTAAGCTTGCCGTCAGCAGTAAAGTAATAACCGGAGAGAGAGAGAGAGAGAGAATCATTCACAAGTTAACACTTGGACAGTAATTCCATCACAAAGCCCTTCTTGTGTTTCTGTTCACTGGATACCACCCATGAGATTTCCATATTCATGCCTGCCCTTCCCAGCTTCCAGACCTTCGACTAATAGAATATGAACGTTTGCAAGAGTCAATAGAAAGTATATCCGAGCGATTTGATATCCAGGCAGAAGCCATGAACAGATTGTAATAAAAAATAATGAATGCATTTGATATAGCGCCTTTCACACTGGGAGGGAGGACATCTCAAAGCACTTCGCCAGATTCACTGTAAATTGCATCGACTGTGTATAGTTATAGGCAAATGCAGCAGCTAATTTGCATGTAGCAATGCCACACAAACAAACCGCTATCAAGTGAATGTCCAGTGTTAGACCATGTGAGTTCCAAGTGCCAACATGGGCCTTGAACCCACATCCTTCTGACTGAGAATACGACCAATTGAGTCAGGCTGCCACCCATTGTGGGGAGATGTACACCATTCAAACAGCTGGTATAATTACGCAAGGTACACGATATATAAATACCAACTCCTTGATTACTTTAAAATGCTCAGAGATTGCATGTAAATTGGTATTAGAAACATAGAAACCGGATATTGGTATTAGAAACATAGAAACCGGAGGAAACCATTCAGCCCCTCGAGCCTGTTCCGCCATTCTATAAGATCGTGGCTGAGCTGTAACTCAAGTCCAACTGCCCGCCCTTGCCCCATATCCCTTGAACCCCTGACCTAACAAATATCTATCTACCTCAGTCTCGAATCAAGCCAGAAGGTATGGCTTCTAACTTGCCGTTCCTTTGGGTTCTTTTGTTCCTCTTTGCTCCAACCCGCATCTGCTGACCTCTAATGACACAGAAGGCAATTGCGGAGATGTTTGAGACTGGAGTGGTTTGGCTGCAAAGCTTCACCACCGTGTAAAACAAAGTCACCAATTGGAAAAAAAAAAGTAACAAAAAAATTGCACATCGTTACAAGCCGTTGGAGCCCGAGCTGTAAGTGAATCATTCCCCTTTTTTCCTGGTAATCTCCAGCCTCTTCGCATAATCTTATTTCATTTATGTTTTAGCTCGTTACCCATTTACCCACTGTGTCAGGATGTCGGAGGTGCCATCGTCTGGATGAGACATTAAGCCCAGGTCCCACTCACTTGTTCTAGTGGACGGAAAAGATCCTCGGCACCACTGTTCGGCCCAACCGTTCGCCAGGTTTAAAAAATAGGTGGTTCATTTCATTGCTGTTTGCGGGATGGTGCTGTGCACAAATGGCTGGCGTGTTTGCCTCCAAAACACACAGTCACTCTACTCTACAGACAACTCCGCGAAGCGCTTTTTGTCAAGAGTGTTTTTTTTTTTGACAGCGTATCTGTATCGAACGCAAGGATTATTGTTGTTCACCCGCGGTTCTAAATAATGTGGGTGTGTGAGAAGGATTTCGATTCATAAAGAGTTAACAAAGTAAAATTGAAACGTTTGTAAATTATATACGGTCGTGTGTGTGTGTGTGTGTGTGTCCGTGTGTGTGTGTCCGTGCGTGTGTATGGGTGTGTGTATGTATGGGTGTGTGTGGGTGTGTGCGTGTGTGTATGGGTATTAATGGGTGGGTGCGTATATTATATATTGTATCCACATGCACACAAAACACACACACACTAATGTATAGGACAGATACAAGCCTTAAAACTATATTTTTGACAAATGAATAAATTGTACCAAACTTGCAAATTCCAGCCCCAATACAAAGTCAATCGTTACCTGCTCCTCCAAAGGAAATTCTTGTCAGATGTTTTATTTATTGATTTATCTTCTGCCCTTGCTCTGTATTCACAAGCGCCACATGTAGAAAGCACTTTCTGTCCCCAGACATATACCCACCGCAGTGAGCCTTTACAGCTCTCAATCTGCGTTCTCTTCTGTTCGTCCTTTCATTTATTTTTATTCCTGTATTCCCAATCCATAAACTGTGACCTCCGATGCAAATTGCTGACATCGGGGCTATTTACGTTGATGTGATTTGGCTGTACCTTGCAGCCAGGGTTTAAAATACTGGAGCAGAATAAAAGCAAATCACATTCAACAGATCAAAACATTTCTCAAGTTAACTCTTTTCACGGAACGAACAGAGTCTCTGTAAGATTCCCTTCCGCGTGAGATGGTCAATACTGTAGAGTAGTGCTTTAAAGTAAAGTCAAGTGGAGTCCTGTAGCCGTACTGGTTAGAGCGCTCGTCTCGCAAGCGACAGAACCTGGGTTCCATTCCCGTCGAGGCGAAACATTAGGCAAATTTCCTTACTCCACACCCCTCTGTTTTCCGAGCGGTAAGTAGGAACCCGGTTGTTAGTCGATTGGCGGATCGCTTCTCCGGGGGCAATAATTCCTTGAACTTTTTTTTAAATAAAATGTAAAAAAATTAATAAGTTGGTCACTCAGTCCAAGACTGTTTGTGGGACACTGCTGTGCGCAATTGACTGCCCTGTTTCACCCACAAAATATCGAGTCAATTCACTTCACAGTATAATTCTGTGAAAAACGCTTTGAGACGTCTCGAAGACGTGATAAACCGCTGCATCAAATGCAAGGATTATTCTTGTTATTATTGGTTATTATTAAAGTAGGCAACGTTACGTAAATACTCCAATGGGCTTCAGAATTCACGAGGGTGAATTTGCAGAGCTGGTAATTGTCTTCTGTTGTGTTGTGGCACCTTCGAACTGACTTTGCAAACGGTTTCACTCCATATCGAAAATACAAGGTGACGAAAATTCGTGATAACTACCCTATTATCTGAAAAATAATACATGTCATCATTTCTTTAAGACTTGTTAGATGCTGCAATGGTATCGCGGGTTTTTGGTCACCCTGTACATCTACTTCAAAGGAAAGCGAACATATCCGAGACAGTCGAGAGCTTCTTCTTCAAAGCCAATCAGCTCCTAGAACATTATTGATGGAGACATCGCAACACGGAGAGATTATTGATTTATATAACATGTGTCGGCCAGCAGCAGTTTGGAATCAGTTGTTGTCATCTGACTTTGATTGAATATGATATTTATCCAATCTGCACGAGATAATTTATTATTTGGAGCTGTCTCTCCAAATAGATATATGAAATATGTATCAATTATATCTAAATTTCCCACATGATACCCAGTAAATCTGTAATTTCAGGGAGAGCGTGTGCTGTGTGTATGGTCAGCTGTTCCTGATTGTACATTTCATACCAAGCAATTTTATACAACTCCATATACAGTAATCTTTAATTTCAGGTATTTTATGACCGTAGCGTATTATGTTTGCCAACTAAATACACAGTCACTGGATTTTACAGTATGTCCTGTCAAGTGCTTTGAAACGTCCTCCTGACATGAAAGGCATCAAATGTAAGGATTATTATTACTATTATTATTATTATTATTATCCATGAATACTTCAAGGCAGCGTTGTGGCAAAGTTACCTGTGCACGGAAGGAACCTGGTTTAAATGGCCTAGAATGACACAGAATGACACGGCATGGAAACAGGTCCCTTGTCTGTGCCACACGAATATTTTTCTAATCTTTCACTTCATTTGCTTTAGAGATGAGAAAGGGTCTCTGCGGAATTTGTTCCCTCGGGAGATGGCAAATTGAGAGGAAATCTCTGTAGCTAGGGAATTATTTCTGTGTTTGGAGGGGGGATGGGGGAAAGCTGATTTCCCCCCCCCCCGCTCCCTCTCCCCCACCCCCACCCCACCACGTTTTCTTAAATTCTTTACGTTTACATTTTTATCACCCACTTGACTCCAATTTACTTCTCGGCAATAAAAGCAGCCAAAAAAAGCTGTAAATGCACAGCGGGTCGATCAGCATCTGAAAGAGAAAAATATGTCAGCTTTTTGGCTGTGAAGCCACTTTTTCAGGGTCCTCTCGGATTTATTGTTTGCTGATGGCAAATGTAAGAGCTCCGAGACCCCATTCGGCCATTCGGCCATTCGGCCATTCGGCATCTCAGAGCGCGTACATTTGCCATCAGCAAACAATAAATCCGTGAAGAGCACGACATAAGCACAAGTTGTCGTTGTTGACACAAGACCTGACCAGACTGGAGCGATCTGGCTGTGTGGAATTTTCTCCTTGGCTGATACTACGGTTACCTTGTCATCAGTGGAACGTCTTTCTCCCTCTCTCGCCTAACGCAAAGCCCTCCACCTCCCCACGAGTTCCTTTCTTCCTGCACTTGCCTTTTGCTGTATGTAGCTGCCCAACTGAGAGCCAACAGATCTCACTCAAATAAGGTAAGTGAGTTGGAAGTGATCTTTCTGACCTCACAATCTCATTAGCTAAGGCACCATTTTACCATCTAAAGGAGCTGAGGGGTAAAATTTCAACCGTAATTGTTTTAACAGTTGTGATCTAAGACTCCCACTGGCACTGGTGCTCTGCTGTTTTTACAATAAGAGAAATGCTTTACAATGAAATTGCAGAAACAATTATTAAACACAACTTGAAAAGGAAATTCAATAGAAATAGAATACATTTTGGTGAGGCCTTGACCCCGATAATCATGTGCCGGGGAAAGGTTATGAGTGTCTCTCCCTCTTACTTTATAAGCTTTTCGTTCTAGCCACCAGACTCTGGTGATAGCTGCGTCCCACATGCGGCCCAGTTTGAGCTGTAATCGTGCCCCTGGGGTTAGGATTCTGACATCGCTTAACAGATTTCATGTGTTTATTAATGCATTGGATCATGTAAGAAATGCTGCAATTTTTACCCTCATAAATCAACTCGTGTCTGTCTCCTCCTTATATATTAGGCTCTTAACCACCAGCAGGTTACAACAATGACTTGGATTCACAAACGGCAACCTCACACGTGGAAGTGTATCACCACAACTCGCGAAGGGATTCCACTCGACAAGTGGATCACATCAGAGCAGAGATCCTGTTGATCGACTTGAGGTACTTCCAGTCACTGGACCAGTGACCAGGAGCCATTATTGATATGGATTGACAATTCTACAATAAGTATTGCCAACACTGACTCCTGAACGTAGAGCCATAGATATTTATAGCACAGAAGAAAGCCATTCAGCCCATTATATAATAATAATTATAATAATATTAATAATCTGATTATTATTTATTGTTATTATTGTTGACTACTCCTGTTATGAACAGTCACAATGTCTGAAGAGTTTACCCGAGTTCATCTGTGAGGATGAGCTATTCTGATTGTTATCAGTTTCAATTACAGAGAGAACGATGTGGCCGCAGACAGACAGGAGAATGGGGCACCAAGTCTGTGCATCTTACCAACCTCACTGAAAATAAAAGGAATTACAATGCTCTTCTGCTTGGAGGGAGAATTTTTCATTAAAACTAAATCATGTTTCTTTTTTCTGATCAAAAGAGCCAGCTTGACCTTTTAAACCAGCGACTGGTCAACCATACAGAACTTGTAATCATATTGAGCTCATTTATTTAATGAGCATTTCAGCTTGCGCACACTGTTCGGGACTTCAAAAGGGTTAATCGTGACCGAGTCAAACATAAGCCCTAATGAAAAAGAAACAAAGGTTAGTGCCCACTGTCACCCTGGACTGCATCTGTTTTCTTTACAAAAGGCAAAAGCAGAGTAACATTCCCAGCAAAATGTCTGGCCCGTCACAGATTAACTCAGTGAATTGAGAAGTTGTACATTATCGCAAAGTAAGACTTTTTTTTTCCCTATTCTCTTCCTATTCACCCCCAACCTTATTTTTTCTTTGTTGGTTCCATTTGTTTTCCACTTTGACTGGGATACGGTTTCACCTGCACTCTTTGATACTTGGCCCAAATGGCTCTTGTTCACGTAGAAGCCTTGACAGTTATTCCTTGCAGTCTACTTGTGGGAGTCATCACAGCCAAGAGACACACACTCCCCCCACCCCATAGTAATCAGGGGTAAGAGGCTTGGTTCATCTGTTCATTCAATACAGATCCCAGTAGAAACCTGCAGTTCAATACAGTGTTTTTCAGAGCCTTTACCCTCCTAGACCTACTGGTGTTAGTGGAATGTGTAGGATATCGGGATTTGGGCCATATTAATCTAAGCTGACACTGCACTGCAGTGCTGGGGTGGTGGGGGGGGGGTGCATTTCATTGTTAGAGGTGCCTTCCTTTGGATGAGGCATTAAATCCAGGGGGTGGGGGAGTGTGTGTGTGTGTGTGTGGCCCTCACAAAGACGTTAAAGATGGCAATGCACTGTTGGAAAAGAAAAGGAAGCTTCTTCTGATCTCCTGGCCGACAATCTCCCGGATACAATGGTTCGTTGGCTTCATGGCTGCTTGTGGGAATTTGAGCTGGGATGTTACCCTCACGTTACCATTTGTTGATTTGATTTCCCTCCCTCTTCTTTTCCATTCAATTAATTATTACACGCTCTTTCTTTCTGTTGGAAGCAAGTGGCTGCGGTTATGATTCAGAAACACAGTTAATGAGGGCAGTAAATGGCAAAGAACAGCTGGAAAATTAATCCACTCGTGGCTTGAAATTAGACCCTGGCCTAGATTCACTCTATTAATGTCGCATTTTAGAGCTTCCAGAATTTGGCAAATTATTGACTTCAATTTTTAACATTTTATTTAACATGGCTTCAAAATTACGAGGGTTCTAAGAATTTGCCAATTCCTAGAGGCTCAAAATGGCAAAGAAATTGAGTAGATCGAGACCCATGTGGAATTCCTCCCCACTGATGTGTCATTTGGAATGCAGACAAGCCAATTTCACTTACCTTAACTAGGCAGTTAACACACTGTAACATATGGGCTAAAATTCCTGTGGGTGTTAAGCGTAGGACCCTTAGCGTATCGGTTGCTAATGAGATTCCCCCGAGATTATAATCGCGCATCGTCAAAACCGCTACATGATTGGAATTTCAGCCCATTTGTCCCCAAATAGCTTGTGTGCTACACAAACTTAATGGGATTGGGTTACACACAATTTCACTTATAAAAACAGTCAACTGAAGGTAGTGGCAAGGGTCTGTACGGGCCAGGCCTCTAAAGTTATTGAAAAACTAAATATCTAAAGTTATTAAAGTTATTGAAAGCGATTTTATAGAAATTCATGTACAAATATTCACCGCTTACAAGGAACAAATAAGTCTGTTGCCGAAAGCTGTTTGAATGTATTTTAAAGGCAACTTCAATGTAGGAGTGGTGAAGGCAAAAAGTCTTTGTGTAGAATTAAGGGAATAAGTATTTGGTGGAGAACGCTGATTGATTCTCTGTTATCCACACCCTTTCCTTTTGTTTTCCTTGGCTCCGTATCATTCAGCTTGGGTACCACTAGTTCTCTTCAATTGCATCTCACTGCTCTTGTGTTACAAGCAGCTTAAAATCCACTCGGACCTTGCAGTCCACAGGGCTCTTTGCTGAACCACATAACAGAATTTTGTGAACTCCATCCCGCAGTGCCTTCACCTCGTTCCCTCCCTCGCCTCCTTCAAAGAAGGTCGTGCTTTCAGCCACTAAGCTGCAAAACTCTGGAACGCTCTCCCTCAATCCCTCCACTTTGCCCTCTTTCTCCCCTTTTTCCAAGTCCCGCCTGAAAACCTTCCCCGTCGACCGTGCTTTGGGCCACCTCCGCCCGCCCACCCCCCATCCTTCCCGGCTTGGAGTCAGGCTCTGCCATTGTTATGGCGCTCTGAAACGCCTCCCAGCGTGGAGGGCGCTAAATAAGTGCAAGTTGTTGTTGGATGGCAGAGGGTTGTGAAGCTGTAGAACACTCTACCCCAGAAAGCTGTGGAGGTGTGGAATCAACAGAGATGTTTGACAGAGAGATAGACAGATACTTGTTTAGAAGAGTTATTACCCGGCATGGCAAGAGGTAATGGTAACTATGGTAATGAGATGCTGGGGACACTGGGTTAAAAGATATGCCGAGATCTAGTAAACTCCTGGAAGAAGTTTAATGGGCTGAAAGGCCATTTGAGGCATCTCGAAGACGTGATAAGGCGCTATATCAAATGCAATGATTATAACTATTACTACAGTATAAAATGGCTATGATCCTCATTCATTACATGTAAATTTTTCTGTTGCAATAAAAAGCACATTAAAGTGGTTGGGAAGCTTTCAATGTAACCTCTAGGTAGAGGGAATTAATGGATCCAATAGCCCATTTTTCATTGAGGGGGAAATTACAGGGACTATATTGTTAAATAAGCTATTAGCACCTGACCCAGACGAAGAAAAGGCCTTGCAGTCTAGACTAGGGCCTGAGAAGCTGGTGTGATATTTTTTCTCTTGGTTCTGCTCATGTCTAAAGGGACCAAAGCGAGAGATTCACAGCAAAGGTTTGTAAATAGTAAACGCCATATGTGTCACGGCCGACTGGAAATCTGCTCAGGTAACTAATTTATGGAAGTCTAAACCGAGATTAATGTCCAAGAAAAGTTTCAGAGGGTCCAATCTACAGACGATTTACTTCTGATCTTATTCCCTATTAACTATGGTAATGAGATGCTGGGGACACTGAGCATTGTTAAGTACTTGTACTTCAGGACCTCTCTTTACACTCCATGTCGTGCTGAGCAGTTAATAATGATCAATGAAGAATAACTAATCTCTTCTCCGCCAGTTTGATCAGGAACCCTTTCCAAAGCCTGAGCCTGAAACCCCTTTACAGTCTTTGTCTGTCAAAACTGCTTTGTCTTCAAGATTTAAGATTGCAAAGAATTGGGGAAAAAATCTTAAATCCAGCCTTCGTCTGGAGGTCATTCTCAAAAAGAAACAGTTTCCAAATCAAGACTGAATTAAAGCCTTTTCTACAATTCTGCACGATCTCTGGAGTTGAGGCGGAGATCAGCCATGATCTGTAACAATAATTTTGGTCACTTAATCCACGACACTGCTGTGTGCAATTGGCTGCCGTGTTTCGGCCACAAAATGCACTTTACAGTATATCCTGTGAAGTGCTTTGAGACGTCTCGACAACGTGATAAGGCGTTATATCAAATGCAAGAATTATTATTATTATTATGACCTAATAGAATGGTGGAACAGGGCTTTAGGAGCTGAATGGCCTTCCTACATTTCTATGTTCCGATGTTTCTATCTTAAATGTTTAAGGCGAAATCCCACCCAGTTGGTATTTCAGACCTACAGCCATGAGCTATAGCCATGGTACTTTGTTGAAAAACACTGCACAAAGCGTTAATTGACTTTTAACGCTCGACTTTTTTTTGTTGTTGCAACTTCTGCAGCTGCTGCGAATAGTTAATCTTTTAATGATGGGTCATTATTTGATTACAGGAGAACATATGGTAGTGTGGCACATTTTGTGGATCAGAAAGTATTTACAACACGGATATTGTTAGGTTTATGAAAAGAAAAGTACAAGAATGCCTTTGAACTGCAAAGAATTCTGAACTCGCAGCCAGAAAGAAAGAAAGAAAGAAAGAAAGAAAGACAGAAAGAAAGAAAGAAAGAAAGAAAGAAAGAAAGAAAGAAAGAAAGAAAGAAAGAAAGAAAGAAAGAAAGAAAGAAAGAAAGAAAGAAAGAAAGAAAGAAAGAAAGAAAGAAAGAAAGAAAGAAAGAAAGAAAGAAAGAAAGAAAGAAAGAAAGAAAGAAAGAAAGAAAGAAAGAAAGAAAGAAAGAAAGAAAGACAGAAAGAAAGAAAGAAAGAAAGAAAGACAGAAAGAAAGAAAGAAAGACAGAAAGAAAGAAAAAAAGAAAGAAAGACAGACAGACAGACAGAAAGACAGAAAGAAAGAAAGAAAGAAAGAAAAAAAGAAAGAAAGAAAGAAAGAAAGAAAGAAAGAAAGAAAGAAAGAAAGAAAGAAAGAAAGAAAGAAAGAAAGAAAGAAAGAAAGAAAGAAAGAAAGAAAGAAAGAAAGAAAGAAAGAAAGAAAGAAAGAAGAAAAGTCTTAGCTTTGTTTTTCGGGGGCACATTATCAACCAAATCCCCCCATGCCGGGGCACCAGGGCATGAAGCGATTTGTAGATGAGTCTGAGGATCGTGAAGTCAATCCTTTCTATGATGTGGGAGACATTGGAGTCTGGTGAGGACTGGTGTGATGGGGGGCAGCGTTCACAGTGGGTGAATGTACAGGCAGCGGAGTGTTGAAATAGTTGGATTTTCTGGATAGTGGAGCTGGGGAGACCAGCGAGGAGGGCATTGGGATAGTTAAGGCAGGAGGTGACAAAAGCGTGGGCTAGGGTTTTGGCCTCGTTGGGTGTGAGGTACGGTCGGTGGCGGGCAATGTGATAGAGGGACATCCCATCAGGAGGACATCTCAAAACACTTCCTGAATCCAAATAGGAGCCCGAGCTGGGGGTTGGGG